GATCTTACTGAATACAAGAGAAGAGCGTCGCCAGTCCATGGCCTAGAAGGCGCAGTAAAACAAAATCCTCGTTTTTTTTTGCAAATTTCTCAAAAATTTACCCTTAAGGCAATTTTTTAATCTCTAGCTTACGCTCTGCCCACCCTTAGCTACGCTCTTGCTGGAACATATTTCACGAAAATATATTCACTTGTATACAGGATATCTAAAAAAAGTGCGAGTGTAAAGTATTCCTTTCTTATCACTGTAGAAGTTTTGATAGTTCCAGAGAAATAAACTAACCAATAAAAACATATACATTTACAATATATTTTAAAAAATAACTAAAAACCTACAAATTGACGCCTTGAAGTTAAAACTATACTCAGTGTTTACAGTTGGTTCACACTAACTTTATCATGAATATCGTAATCGTACATTGTACAGGGGGTTCAAAATTCGATGTCGAACTTGCTAAAATTTCTTATTTTTTAAAAGGAACGCACTGAAATATTGACACGACTTTTTCACCCAATAGTTTTTAAAAAAACCCAAGAAAAATTTCTGTATGTTTTTAACCACCTATTAGCATATTAAACGTATAGCCCTGTATAGTTATAACATTTATAATCGTTAGTACAGACCACCTGTAGTAAATACCAAGCATTGTTTCTATTTCAAGCCTTGTATTTTTAATTTTTTTAGAAAATGGCTGCAAAATACAATATGATCGAAAAAGAAACCGCGTCAGCGATAGCTGTTAATTATATGGGAAATATCGATGTTCATTTCCCAGCCAACTGGACGCCGTTTTTTTTATCATACGGTATATGTACAGAGTTTTCAGAAATATTTAGTGCGATACCAGCAAGTTTTCCTATTGAAGGTAGAAGAAAACTTTAAATGTAGGACATGTAAGGTTTTACCTAAATCGCCAGAGAGTGAAATAAAAATAAACAAAAGACGATCAGAATTATTCCAAAAAATTCTATAACTTAATTTTTTATCGCACTAAATGTCTCTGAAAAACCTGCATCTATATTTTATGTACTTATTTCTCTTGAACTATCAAAACAAGTTTAGTGTAAAAACTTAAAAACGTGTAAAAGAGGGCCATTAATACATCCACACTTTTTTCAGCACCCTATACAACTGAACATAATTTCCTGAAATACGACCTAGTGCACGTTTATGGTCTGCACTTAAAATTAACTTAAGACGCTTTGTTGCAGGATCCTGTATATTTTTTACTGTGGTTATCAACACTGTCTATGCCATAGGTCTATGCCAATTAGACAAAAAGCCTATATCGAAATACAGGGCGACCCGGTATATTAAAAAGACCTAATATAATTTTTTCTGTTTGCGATTTTCACCCCAATTTATTTTACAAATGTGGCCAATGGTAGCGCACATGTTGAAAATATTTTTACACATGTACAGGGTGATACAAAAATATTTTTGCACTAATGTTGTTATAGTTTTCCCTTAAAACTAAAAAAAAATTATCTATAATAATTTATAGAGCTCATACTTTTTGTACCGTTTTTGTTTAAGATTTTACTATTAATTTAAACTGAGTTATTTTTTAGACTTTATATCGTTGGATAAGGTTGGATAATAAAGTTAAAAATTATTTTTGACTTCAATTAGATTTGATATAGAAGCATGACACAGATTTTCAGACATTTTTAAAACTTGTATTGTCCAATTTTCTAAATAAAATAAATACATATAGTTTTGAAAAAGACACTATATACTTCAATTTGAAAAACAAAATAATAGTGATGTTATTTAAAATTTGAAAATTTCTATAGTAAATCTACAGAGCAAACAAAATATAAACCTTCCAATTTAAAAAACTGCTAAGTGTAAAATTATAGTAGAATCACCGTGTAATATCTATTAAAACAGTTTGCAAGAAAGAATGAGGAAAAGATGTTAACTTGATATGAAGATTTTTCAGTATACTGGATCACCCTGTATACAGTATATATTGTAAATTATCATATAAAATTAAAAGAAATATATTACAATTATTTAATAAAAGAAAAAAAAATATAATATGTAACTGATAGTTGTTGGAGGTTTTAAAAATATTTTTTAGAAAATATAGGCAACCAAAAAATCATCTTAACTTACAAAAACCCGAAAAAAAAATTAAAAGTTTGATAACCACAGCAAATAGGACACAGGACACAATAATATTTATAATCAATATTAGGCGCATTCAATCAAATTGAGGAGTGTTTTATCTTTTTTTCTTTTAGCACAATCAAAAACATCTAAAAATTAGAGCAACAAAACCAATAATATTATAATTTAACAATTACCTTACTCTGCAAATTAAATTATTTAAATATTTGTACTGAAAAAAAAACACCTTATATTGATTATATTACATATAAAAGCAAATTGTAATATTAAGAAAAATGCGACAGTTAAGTTTTACATAAATAAAGAACAATTAGAAACAACTGCAAAACAACAATTAGACGTACATGTAGCATCCATATATTTATTAACAAAATATAATTTGATATTAATTATACTGTACTTTATTAATAGATGAAAAAATAAATAAATATATATTTTTTATTAACTCTGTTTTTTTTTATTGTTATTCTAATGAGGTAATTTTCAATATTTTACGCTAATCTAAATTTTGTATTAAGAAACAAGGCAAGTAACAATAGTAACAATAAGCTATTTAATTATAAGCTATTAATTAAGTACCTAAAGAAAAATGTATTAGCGAAAAAATTACTCTAAACTGAAATAAGAATGATTATAATATTTAAATAATTAATGTTAAATCAACAAAATGAAATATTCAAAAAAAAATAATGATTGAATAGTTATCCGACTTTATATTTAAGAAGCGTTTGCAAATAACTTTAACGTCAAACACAAAGTTTTTAAGTTGAAATATCACACAAAATATTAAAAAAGATGCTATAATAAACAGATGGTGCCCCATGTACTTCTAATTAGTTAACTACAAAACTTCAGGTAAGAAGAGTGAATATGAAATAAATGCGATAATAAATATTATTTAAAAAAATAACTGGTTAAAATAAATTAGTTTTGCTCATTTTATATTATGGCGAATGCGCTAGGCTATCCTGGAATATATTTAGTTAGATACAATATGAAATATTCAACTAAACAACTAACTGTCTGTAAAAAATAAAAGAATGTGTAATATATTTTTGATATAAAAATGTATATTTACTTTAGTATACAGGGTGTCCCGTTTTAAAAATATATTTCATACCAATAATATTAAAAAAAATTGACAACTTACAACATTTTTGCACTGTTAAAATTAAAAACCATGTGTGACAATCTTTAAAATCAGAAAAAAATGTGCTATTTAATACACTCCTAATATACAGGGTGTCTTATTTAAACATTAAACATGTTTATACCAATAACTCTAACAATTGAGAGCTTTTGCTAATTTAAAATTAAAACTTGACCAAAAAAATTAGGACAAACAGCAATGTTATAGGTATGTAAAAAATAAAATAAAGTTGTCAAGTTAATTTGTATTATGTTATGACAGATGCGCTAGATTTTAGAATATACAATAAAAATCGGTATTAGCGACTGTTTCGTGACACACCCTGTACAAAAGTCTTTGTTGAATGAAATGCGCAACTAAAAATGTCAGTCCACGTGTGCAAGCGTTTTTACGACATATTATTCCTATTTATTTATTATCGAATTTGTTCCATTTCGCTGTATTACAATTATTACATTATTATTATTACAAATACATACAAAATGGCTTACGTTATATAGTCTGTTCAACGAGCCGAAGAAGACTTTGACAGAAGATATCCTTAAAAATGACAGCAAATACAATTTACCTGTTAATTAAAATGACAAACACAACTGTCACTGTCAGGGATCCTCTCGTTGGATAGACTATTACACATGACATAAAACAATGCAAAATAGTAGGTATATCGATTTATTAGGAGTAAAAATGATACTTTTTGTGGCGACGCTGTACGTTCGACGTTACAGGCGAGGCACAAAAAGTCATTTTTACTCCAAATAGAACATACTATTTTTTTCAAACGTCACAAATAATTGATGCCATGATTTAAACACAAAGAACGACGCAAATAAAATAAAAACATTTAAAAGTAAGTAATTATATATCGAGAAACTATGATTACGCTAGTTAAATTTGACACTTAATGTCAGTTTAATAATATATTTTTTCGTATTTTTATGCCTAGGCATTAATATATTTTTTTATATTGTCAATCACTTCGCAAAAATTAATATTTTGTGACGTTTGAAAAAAAAAATTTTATAATGATAAAAATTGATCAGTCATGAAAAAACATCTGTCCCTAGGCCAGTGGCGCATCTACAGACTGGATCTGGGAGGAATAATTGCAATATTTAACTAAACTAGTAGATTTGAATGAAATTTTTGCTAAAAAGTTTTTTAGTAATCGTGGAAAAAAAATAAACTTGGAATTTTAATTATTTTTATTTTATTTATAAATTTCTTTCTGGGAGGGGTAATTATTCCCTTTACCACCCTAACCTGTCTAGGGTCACGCCCCTGTCCTAGGGTACCAAAAATAATTCACAAAAGCAAAAAAAAACTATATGAACACAAGTATTAACAAAATGGATTATTTTACTAAAAATAATCAATCCAGAACTTATAAAAAATGATTAAATCGACCATTAAACTATTAAATTATCATCTGATCGTAGATATAGTTAGATACATTCCATAACATTTAGTTTGTGTTAATACAATAAATAAAATATTAAAAAATATAAACTTTAGAACCAAAATAATACTTGTGTTCATAGAGTTATAGTGACGCAGCTGCGCAAGTATAAAATTTATAATTTTGATAATCCGAAATAAATGAGTAGCTTAGGAAATTATAAATAGTATAAGACAAAAATAATTAAAGAACTACTACTATAAAAAATTGGTATTGATACAAATTAATAAAGAATGTCTTTAATTCGATTAAAACAATTTAATTCATAATTACAATATCTAATGACCTTTAATGAATGCAAAAATAAAAGATAAATGAGATTGAAAAAAAGCTTAAGAGAAATTATAACAGATTACTATTATATTGCTCAACATATTTTTCATAAAGATTAATGCATAGATTTTAATGATTTAAAATTAATCAAACATGCCTCAAACTAGAGGCGATTAGATAATAAATAGAGCATCAAAATATAAATAAATAAAAAGACAATATAAACAGAAATAATGGTCCTATTCATAAAATAAAGTGAATTGTTCTTAACTAGTGTTTTATTTTGCAAAATCTTAAGAAAAAAAAAGATTTTTTTCCGGATTATCAAAATTTTACAAAAAATCAATAACACTAATATGACGCCTGATATACTTAAATAGTTAAGAAGAGGATAAAAACCAGTAAACAAATTTATTGAAACAATAACAATATTAATGAAGCTAACGAACCTTGGTGAGGCATTGAGGAGTATTGAGTCTGCTTTATGTTGAGTGAAAGAGGAAAGTGAGGAGTAGGAGCAACTGTTGGGATATCCATTATTAAAAAAATGCAGAGATATCTAAAAAATAAAATAAAAATAATATTAAAAAAAAAGAATAAAACGAACTATGTAAAAATTAAAATAAATATATTTTTATTAACGCAATAACTATGTTTTTTAAATTAATAGTTATTTGTATATACCCTATGAGAAAAAAACAGCATCATAGTGGCTTTTAAAATAACAATTAATGACAATTATTTCTGAGAGGTAGACCACAATATATCATTTATAAAAAATTGGTATAAAAATGTATAAAAAATTAAAGAATGAAATGTTAAAAAAATTCAAAGTTCATATTTTTTTAAATTAAGGTTTTCACCTTTGTATAATAATCGGTATGTTTGAAACCTTTTTCCTTTTTCATTTAAATATTATTTTTGACAAATTTTTATATCAATTTGTAATAAATGACATATAGAAATAGACGTTGACCTCACAGACCTGTGCAGCTTGAATATTATAAAAACTTATCATAATTTTCAAGCTTGTGGATGAAATTTAATAAGAAAAAAAAGAAATAAATAACTTACCAGTGATGAAGGACTGCGACCACACTAACAGCTATTAAGTACAGTCCTCAATGGTCTTTCTGAGTCTTTCCCTGCAAATTTCATTCCATTTAAAGCTTTTTGATGTCCACCATAATATTTGCAGATAGTACAGCTTGTGGATTTTTAACAGCAATTATCCCATCTTATACCTAAAATTCCAAAAAAATATTAAGTACATTTTTACTATACTAATTTTGGAAGATTTTGAAAACAATATTAATAAAAAACAAAAATAAAAAAGATTAATCAAAATTATATTTATAAAAATATATATTTATAGCGTTTATTCTAGTGGGAACTTTATCGTCAAGGTGTGTGTGACGAGTTCTGCAATTTTAAACCAAACAGTTTTGAAATGTTGACAATTTGGCGAAGGATTTTTTTAAATAGTTAATTGTGTGTTGTAATCAGTATAAATTGTGAGGAAATAAATCCGGTAAGTATTTTATCGTGAGTTTAAATTAGTGGACCCCCGTAAACCCTAACTATATGCAACCAGTAATACAGTATCAGCATTTTATTTTATCTTGCCTATTTTTTATAGTTGTTGGCCGTTCTAATATTGGAAAAGCGCTCGAATATTAGAAAATTTTAAACATTTTCAAGCTGTCCAATGAAATTTTATATAAAATATATAAATAACTTACCATTGATGAAGAACTGGATCCGCTCTAACAGCTATTAAGTAACAGCAGACCAATTTCTTCTGCACAAGTTTCATTCCATTTAAATCTCTTTTATAACCACCATACATATTATTTGCAGCTAGTTTGGCTTATCGGTTTCTAATAGCAATTGTCCTATCGTATGCCTAAATAAAAAAAAAAATATTAGGTAATTTTTTATTATAGCAATTTTTGAAGCTATCAGAAAACAGACAATAACATAAATTATGTTAATATTTACAACTATGTAACATAACAAACAAATAATAGACATTTTATGTAATAGTTATATAAAATTAAAAAAAAAAAAATTATTGATAACTTCAGAAATGATACAAAAAATTGTAAAATTCCTTGATAAGAAAATAAAGCACTATTATAATGAGTTAACTAAAAATAAAATATCTAATTTACTAGATATATAGAAAAAGAAAAAATTAATATTTAGTAATAACTCGTAAATTTATTGCGTTATTTTGGTGATAACTTTAATAATTTTGAAATAAATTTAAAGATATGCAACCAGTAAAACACTGTTAGCATTGTATTTTTTTTTTCCACTTTAACTGGCCATGTTTTTAATTTTTTTGAGCTCTAATATTAATTAAAAAACAATTATATTAGTTTTCCAGTCAAGTTTTTTAATACGGTTTTATTATTATAAATGTCATACACTCTCAAGTATCACCCAGTTATTGGTAAACTGTATATTTTAAATTGAAACGAGTAAAAAGTGAATAAATTAAAAAAAAAATAAACATAATAATTTTGGTGTATTTTTTATTAAATTTTGATAAAACTATTACAAAGAAAGGGCACGAGTGTCTTTCAGAAATTAAAAAATGTGCCATGTATAGGGTCTTCCATTTAAAAAAATACACATTAAAACCTGAACTAAAACTTTATAATTTCTTTTTTTTTCAATGAATGTTCTAGCTTCTAAAATAAAAAAAAGTTAAAACCTGTTAAAATTTAGGGCAAAATAAAATGCTAACTGTACAAACTGCGGAGTATGAATATTCTGCAAAATTTAATCATTTTACAAAATTTTCAAGCTCATCAATGCCACTTTATGACAATATATACAGGGTATTTCACGTAACTAGTCCATTAAAAGTGTTTTAAAACGAAATTTAGTCCAAATTAAACTAGTTACAGGTATAAAAATATATACCGTGAAAAACTTTTAATGAACCAGTTGTATGAAAATCTCTGTATATAAAATGATCAAAATAACTTACCATACTTTACCATTATTCAAAGGTAAGAGATGTCGAGCCCAACCCTGGTTCTATTAACTTTACATCCTGAAACGACTGACATTGTTCTGTATCCAATCAAATATGTTCCTTCAAAGCTGCAACTTGCTCGTTGAGTTGTGACAGTAGCTGTCAAAATGTCCGTTACCATCAATTTCTTCAGCTCTCTAAAAGCACAAAAAAAAATTAAAATATAAAAAATTTAAATAGGTAATAAAAAAAATTATGACGTCAGTTTGTTCATACTAAATTTATCTTAATTTTCAACCTTGTCAAAGAAATTTAATAAAAAAAAATAAAATAAATAAATCAGACGTCTAAATGCAAAGCCCGACAAGTGACCCATTTTGGAAAATTGAGATCTATAGACCATTTAATTCGTTATTTCGAATTATTTTTGTTAAAGATATTTTCAAGAAATAATACACCAGATAAATTCAGTCAGGTAGATTTATTATTCTTTCTACTATTCATAATATTTTAAATAATTTTTAGTGTATTTTGTAAAATTGATTTAAATGGACTTGAAATAACTTACCATTGATGAAGGACTGTATCCACTCTAACAGCTATTAAGTAGAGTTCTAAATGAACTTTCTGAGTCTTTTTCTGCGTCCTAAATGGTCTACTGAGTCTTTTTCTGCAAGTTTCATTCCATTTAAAGCTTTTTGATGTCCGCCATAATATATTATTTGCAATTAGTACTACTTGTTGACTTCTAACAGCGATTGTCCCATTGTATACCTAAAATTCAAAAAAAAGTATTAAGTAATTTTTTAACGAATCAATTTTTAAAGATTTTTAAAAACGAAAAAAAATATATTTATATTTAGAACTTGTTTAGAACTATGTAAAATCATAAATATACGACTATTATACCAATTTAAATAAGTCACAAACAATAAAGATCTTAAACAGACTCTAATAAAAAATAATTATAATTTTTATATTAATATTTGCGGTTTTAACGATCGAAAAAAATATAAATAAGGTATCTGCTGTACTAAAAATATCAAAATAAAAAAAAATCAACTTATATTTACCATACCGTAATTTTATTGTGCCTATCTTATTGGAAACTTTAATAATTATTAAAGCCAGATTTAAAAACTGCATTTATTTCCAAGGTCGCTATATGCAACCAGTAATACAGTGTCTGTATTTTATTTTGTCCTGCCTTTAATAATCCATTTTATTATTGTTTTAGTCAAAAAAAAACAGAAAAAAATAGAGCATGTTAATATTGGACCAAAAGAGCTTAAATACGATGGAAAATTTAATATTTTTATAAAATTTTTAAATTTTATAAGAATAAGTTGAGAGGCATAACTTACCATAAATAAAAGGCAACAGGTGTTGAAGTCAATCCAGTAAATGGCATTTTTCTGTGTCCATTAAATTTTTTCCTTTAAAACTGGAACTTGGACTGGAAACATCATTTAATAACTCATTTGCAGATTTGTAACAGCAACTGTTAACGCCCAGTACATCACTCAAACAGATATCTAAAAATAAACAAATATTAATAAGTATATTAATTTGTATCAATGTAGAAAATTAAAATAAATAAGAAAATATTGTAATATCAATATAGATAGGCAAAATACAAAATTAAGTTGATTTGAATAAAAAACATTTCCTAATAAATTTAAAATTAAATATTGCACCTAAAGTTACTGAAATATACACATTATATGTGTAAAATATGTCACACTTTCCAAGCTTTCCAAAAACTTTAATAGGAAAGAAAATAATGTGAAAAAAACTTACCATTTTTGAGAGTGATCTGCGTTGTTGAAGTCAATCTAATGTCCTGTATCTACTGTAGAATAAATTGGTCATCTGTGAGTCTTCTCCCAGTTTAAATTGTGCCAAAACTTCTTTGGTGTTTCTAATAATTCATCCAAGTTGTTATAACAGCTGCCATTCTACATTTCCACCAATAGATATGCTTGTATAATACATAAATAAATAAAACTTGACGTCCAAGATACCAATAACATCTATAAAAAAATAAAAGTTGTGATAAGTATTTACTTTTTGTAACTATATGAAAAAAATTACCTTAATACAGTTGCTCCAAATTTCATTCAAAAAACTTCCGTTACAGCGAACAAAATCCTCCTCCTTTCCTCAAACTTCTTCTATCTCCTTTCCTTCTATTTCAAAGCAATCCTCTTCCATCTTCTCTGTCCTCTTCTATTTTCCATGTCTCACCAATTCTTATTCAACTACTTATATAACTAACTTATACAAATTTCAGGCGTCTTACAAACATTTTTTAAAAAGGGGGAAAAGGGATATAATGCTACAACAAACGACTACGCAAGCGCACCTACCTAAAAAAAGAAAAACACTTTTTTTAGTCAAAGAAAATGATAAATATAAAGTTATATAAATTTACCTGATAGCATCTAGAGGATGGCTCTAATCCTGCTGTTGTCCCCCCAAAAAATTCATTCCAAAGCAGTTTAGTACTAAAAAGATTTATGCAGGAACAAACTGAATTTAATAACACAGTAACAAAAATAAATTACTAATACTTTAATTCTCATTATAATGTAAAATTACATTATTTACTAATTTACGTTTAATTAAAAATGACTATTAAAAAAAATTAAATAATATCAATTTTAAAATAAGACGAAAAATAGTTATTTCCAAATATAATAGAAAAACAATATGCTACCTAATTTTGTCTCTTTGGAGTTATTTTTTTATTACCCATTTATTTTTGCTAAAAAACTTTATATTAAAGCCTTGTATAGAGTAAGAAAAAAGTAAAAATGAAATGTAAAAATTGAACATTAAAAAATGAATACTTAATGCAAGTAAATGTAGGGAACCTAAAGTTACTGCTTTGGAACCACGACGCGAACCGACTTTTGAAGTTCTCCAAGCCATACTGTATCACCTGTAAGAGAAAAAAAATAATATTAGAATATTTCTAACAAATACATATGCTAGAAGAAACAAAAAACAAGCTATAGACAACAAAAAAAAACAATGTAAAAATATAAAAACTCACCATCACATCTTGCTTAAGTTCATTTTCAGTCCCACCATAATAATTATACGGCGAAAAAAACAGTGGCGTCTCACTGCTATGGGGCACATCGAATGCCCCCAACTCCATAGACTTCGGTCGATCCTGTAGGAGTTGACAATAAACACGTTTTCCAGGTGATTCGACGGTGCCTGGAACAATCTGAAATTTTTGGGACTGATCATATGCAGCATGTAGATAGAATTTCTGACTTCTTCAATCTCGTTTTTTAAAATCGCGCTGCGAACCCGGGTTGTCCTAAAAAAATGAAAAAAAAAAAAATTAGTTATATAAGTAACTACAAGTTAAATTAAAATTTAAACTTATATCTACTATAAGTTTTAAAAAAGTTGTTCTATTTACTATACAAGTTATTCTACTTTAAATTGAAGCTCATGTATGTTGTAACAAAAAAAACTAAAATATACAACACTTTATATAAAAAGAATTTTGATTGCTACATGGTGCGAGAGAAAAGTTATTTGGTAGAGGGTACAGTAAAAGTTTACAATTTAATGTAATATAAAAAAATTAGACTTACTTTTAACAGGTTTAAGTTAGGCCTGGTTATGCTCGCCTCCTCCGGACATTTTCTGCCTTCAAAATTCGACGCGGGGCAGACCAAGAGAAAAAACAAAAAAATGTTTCCACGACCCGCCTGCGAGTGTGTGCTGGTTGCCTTCCTTATGCAGATTCGACCCTTTGGTCGACGATTAAGCCTCACCAGTCAGTTCCCATCCCAATTAAGCCGCCTCGTCTGGGGTCACCCTCGTCACCCGTCGGACGGACATCCACCGGGACCCCCTACAGGCGGACCCCCTCATCATCTTCAATGTGTCCGATATCCCGCCCCTGCCCCTTCGAGGGTCACGGAATACGTGCGCGAAGAAATCTCGGAGCTTGAGTGCCAGGTTGTATCCGGCCGAAGCCTCTAGCATTAGAACACCTAGCTCGTAAACCAGAGGGTGGTGACTCCCTTGGGTACCTCTGCATGCTACACAGGTCATCGATGCCCGAACATCAGGGTTAGGGGGTGACCCAAGAAGTCTCCTCTCTTGGGGAAGGCCGCGCCGCGCTCTGGAGTCATCTTAAGCCCGGGAATCCACACCGACAAAAACACTGTTAACCAACTGCATCAGCTAACGAAATTCACTAATGCTGAATTAGGAAATTTTATTAACCAACACAGAGAGCTAGCAATGCTCGTGTGAGTGGGATAGGAGTGTGTAGTGTTGTAGTATTAATATAACGCGCCTAAAAAAAGAAAAAACTTAGGATACCTATAAAAATATTATCGAACGCCTATAAAAATATTACGACAATATATAAATAGGTATATTTATTTTAAATGAAAAAAGATATATATTTTTAAAAAATAAAGAAAACTCTAAGTATGCCCTATAAAAAGAAATTTAAGTTAAAAATAGCAATTTACAAAAAATCAAGACATCGAATTCCAACAGGCGGCCATTTTATTTAAACATTCCTTGACCGAAAAAATTAAACAAAAAGTCAAAGATACATTACGTAATTTACCAAAAATGTAGTAATATTAGTACTATTATTTTAACCTTAGTTTTACATACTTATTTATTAATCTACGTATATTATTTAAACAATATTCTTAAAAATTAATAACTTAATAGGGAATATTGAGAAGAAGGCTGCCATGATGGATATTGCGAAATCCAAAAATTTTGAACTAAAATATCTCAAAAAATACATAAAATTATGGGTACTCACTTTTTCAGGAGGCTGAGCAGGACACTAGTAACAGATTACGCATAAATTGTGTACACTAAATGCACTTTTTCGTCAGAAAATTTAAAATATCAATGCAACCGACGGGAGGACGTCCGAATCCTTGAATTGCAAACGACCTAAACAGGACCAGCGTTGCCAGATTGAAGTCATTCGTAAAATTTAAGCTGCTCATAAAATTAATTTATTTGTTACTAATAAAATTGTTTATAGGAAAATTCTTGTAAATTAAGCTTAATTTTGTTCTCAAAACTTATTATTTACTCAATATACGTTCCACTGAAATCGTTTTTTTACGTAAGGCAAAATATTTATTGTCATAAATAAGAAACAAATAAGTAATTATAAACATAAACACACAAAAATCATAAAATAAACATAAAATGAAGCTGTTTAAATACATTTTTAATGCTATAAATACATTGAAACCAAGAATAAAGACTATAATGTTAGTACGTAATTACAAGAAGAAATAAAAGAAATATCTACAAAACAACATTACTAGTACTTGTTTTACTAAAAATATAAATATAGAAATGACCCTCACTATAGTGCCAGTGATCAATTTAAACTAATATAATTTCACAAAAATCACATAGAGAATAAGATTTTCGACTTTTTTAACAATCCGGCAACATTGAACGAGAATAAAATTCAAAACCTGCACGCAACCGAAACTGACCAATCACGATCGAGTATTTTTTGCTCTTGGATGCCTCGATTTTAACTTTTTATAATAAACATGGACGGCTTGTGTGGTTTTTATTAAAATTTTAGTAGAATATGCTTCCACAGATGCTTCTTAAATTAATTAAATTATCGATTTGTCTTTATTTGTATTTATTCCCTCCAGTATAAAATATCATAGAAAACTTATTTTATATTGAAATTATCTGGTACGCACATAAATTAGATGAACTATAAAATATAAAATCATGCATTTCTTTAATATCTTAATAAATTATTAAGAAACAAGTGTTTTTATTTAATAAATATCTTAATAGTAAGAAATATGAGATAAATTATATAAAAACAAATAATTTCAAAAGTCTTTAACTTGACTCAATGTTGACAGCTCTTACCGGATGTATTTGTTCAACTTTTGACGCCACATTTTTCAAATTTGAAATTTAATTAAGCTGAAAAATCCTTTATTTACAAGAAAAAATATATTAATAAGTACAAATTATGATCGAAAAAACGGCGTCCAGTTGGCTGGGAAATGACGATTGAGTACATTTCCCATAAATTTACATATAAAATGACAGCGATCTTCATTTCATAGTCATCGCTGACGCTATTTTTTTTCGATCATATAGTACGGTATTATTTATATTATTATTTTAATATTTCGCACAACACGTGAACGCTTATTATGTATTTTCATAGTCAATAAAATTAAATAGAAATAAAACTCTAGATTCCTACAGTTAATCTAATTGCTTGATTATTTGTGTTATTATGCTACGTTTAAAAAGTGCTTTATTAAAAATTCGGAAAATTAAAAGGGCTATGTGTCCAAGTTTCTTCTTTTTTTAATTTTTAAAAGCTGTAGCTCCATATCATATTCATAATAGGTTTTTGTTAACATTCCATTAAAACTACAGAGGCCTTAAAATGGCTTTTTAGCCTCCGTAATTAAAACTGTAGAATCAGCTTCAGCAACATTAACAGTTACCTTGTTAAGATTTTTATATTCTTACACCTAGTTTATGCCATTTTTTTAGCATATATGATTTATAAACCATATTTTTCCTAATAGAAGGATGGAAGGATATGCAAGATTAATATATTATATTATATATAACATTTATTTTCCAGACAAAGCATAATATAGTATTAAGATTAAGACATAATTAATGTTAAGAAAGATCTTAATATAAATCACAAACTCACGTCTTAAGTTAGTCTAGTAAACAAAGGTATAAAACTAATAAGATCAAAACTCAACCTTCACCCTATTGTCAAAATTTGGCATTATAGGAAACAAGAAATTACAGTAAATTACGAAAAGAATATCAAAGTACACGATATTAAATACTGTAATGTATTTTACGACACAAACCATCTCCCTTATAAAGAGAAAAAGATAAAATATAAAGCTTATTTTAGTCTTATCAACACTCTTCACTCTTCGATAAAATATATGTCTAAAATTGCTATTAATCCACTAACTTGATATTTTTAAGAAATTATGATACAAACATAATCAATCCACGGATCCACACCTTTGTTTATTAGATTTATCATGATTTTATAACGGTTCAATTTATTTAAGACTTACCAAAATATTGATTTAGATCAGTTTCAGGATTTCGCTAATATCTTGGCAACCTTGGAAAAATTTTAGTTCAAAATTTTCTCACTTTCTCCACAATGGCGCCACCTGCATTCTTCTTCTTTTTCGTATTTCAGGTCTTAAACATGGGCAACCACAGATCTGATATGGATATTCTTCTTCTTATTCTTATATGGCTTGAACTTATATTGGTCATCTGTCTTGAAAAAAATAATCAAAAGGAGAGTGACCGAATTACAATCTATGGTTAATTATTAGACAAAGACATCATCAAAAATAAATAAGGACAGCAAAAGTAAATAAATTTAAGTATGTTCTGTGTATGGAGGGTTTTTTTAACTTTAAATTAAAAAATGATGAAATTAAAGAATGCTGAATACAAATTCGTAGTGCCCTAGGCAAAAATCTACGCATTTTCAGAGGTATTATCCGAGAAAAGAACCATATACAAAGTGGTGAAAATACAAGATAGCTTACTCGTATTCGTTAACGATAACGACCAAATGGACTGCAACAAGTTAGCATTAGCTATGCTTAGTCAATTTAGTGATGTCTCCAGTTGTACTACTTTGATGGAAAACATCATGGAACAGGCCGGAACCAACATTTGCCAGGAGACTGTCGAAGAAACTGAACAAAGCAGTGTTTTTAAGTTTTAACTAAGATAGCCGAAGACAGACTATTAGTGCCTCTTGTAGAAAAAAGATTATTAGAAGAGATTCAACAGCATCCTGAGAAGTTTTAGTTTGTGTTTAGTTTGTTATAGTTGTGTCACATTTATTTCTCAATGTCTAACAACAGAAAGAATCGAAATCAACAGTACTTACGTTTTCAGTAAATTAGGCAGGACTTCAGAGAGTAACTTAAAACAAATTTTATTCATTATTACTTCTTTTTTCTTCGAAAAAAGTAAAAATTTCTGTAAATCAACTTCAAAATATGCCGGGTCAGCTGATTTTGATTGATAGCCATAGACAAGAAATTTTGATCATACTTCTTTAATCTTTGGTAGGATTTATGTAAGTTGCTCTAATTCTGTTTTTATTCTCCAGGTTTTCGTAGACATGACGTCAGAGCAAGACCTAGGTTTTTGAACATCTTCTGCATCCAGTCTTTGAAATTTTATTCATTACTTCTTTTTTCTTCGAAAAAAGTAAAAATTTCTGTAAATCAACTTCAAAATATGCCGGGTCAGCTGATTTTGATTGATAGCCATAGACAAGAAATTTTGATCATACTTCCTTAATCTTTGGTAGGATTTATGTAAGTTGCTCTAATTCTGTTTTTATTCTCCAGATTTTCGTAGACATGACGTCAGAGCAAGACCTAGGTTTATGAACATCTTCTGCATCCAGTCTTTGAAAGTTTTTATTATTATCTCACATAAAGAGAAATAATGTTATACACTATTTATAAATACATTTAAAGCCAATAAGAACAAATTAAAAAAGGAAATTATTGATTTCATTATTGATAATAAATCCCGAAATTAAAAATTCATGGCTATTGCGTACCTAAACATACGTAAATATAACAAAAAGAATGTTTTTTTTTATGTAATATTATATCTGATTATGGTTATGCCGTATTTACAGAACTTGATTTAGTCTTGTAACTTCCACTAATTCATTTTTAATTATATTTATATTCAAATAAAATAAAAATAAGTTTTTATACAATTCAGTTTATTCCTTTCAAGTTCTTAATTGAGTTTGAAGATGTTTAAACGAGTTTTATTAATCCTGTGCTTACTAAAATCTTGTTCAAGTAAATTAAATGTTTTAGAGGCAGATAATGTTAAAAATATGGGCAAATATGTGACTTTATACAATAATTATACCAGATGTAACATTATTTATGTACCCTATCGCAATTATTGTGATGATATTACAAGTCTCTATATTCAGCATAGTGTTTGCACGAAAACTATATCAAACTACACTAATATGGACGAAAATATGGTTGATTTAACATCAACAGTGACCATGGCTACTTTTTTGACCATCTATGATTTTCGAGTATTCATTCAGAACTTGATAGTATCAAATTTTTTCGAAAATATTGGTTCTTTTAGGTTTTTTCTATGCCAAAACAATATAGATATTCTTGAAGCATCCAAATTTGCCTGGAAACATGGTTTGTTAAATTATATTTTTATATTTTATGATACTTCCATGAAAATGGCGTCATATAATCCTTTTCTGGATAAAATTACAGTAAAAAATGTTGAAAATAATGAAAAACAGGTAGAAGAATTTCCAGACAAGTTAAAAAACATGAACGGTAATCCTTTAAAGGTACTGAGAGTGCTGAATCTTATCCCAAACACCAGCAAAAAATTGTTGTTCTTCACACAGGATTTTGATGAGGTCTTTGCCTCCTCTTTGGAGAAGTACTTCAACTGTACCATAGTAGAAACAAAGGTAGAAAATAATCTTGATGCTCTGGGAGTTTTGCAGGCCGTATACAAAACAAAAACAGAATTTTGTATCAAGACATTCTTCAAAAGAACTACTTGGTTACCTTCCTTGATTGAACGTACTACTACCTGGTCGTACCCTCACACAGAGAACCCCTGGCTTATCTTGGTACCTCAGAAAGCTGACAAAGGACGATATCCGATAAGATTAGGCTTTGTTCTGAAGCAGTACTCGATGACATTGACTATAACATATTTTGTAGCATTCTTGAACAAGTATTTAAATTCAAACAGAGTTAAGGAACCTCTAAATTTGATTTACTTCGTATCTGTGATTTTTAAAAACTCTGTACCTCACAAAACAATGAAAAAATCGTTTATTTTAGCCGGGTGGTACCTAACTTCTGTGGCAATGAACGTAGTTATTGAAGCAAGCATGTTGGATAGAATTCTGTCATTCAAACCATCTTACAAAATTTGTAATCTTCAAAATCTGATTGATAGTAAATTACCCATCATATCTTATGTAGATTTTAATATGGATCAAATGATAATAGTACCAAAATCAGAATGGGTACAAAAAATACTTACTGGAATAGACGGAACATCAGTTTTTGTAGGCCCTTCCTATGAAATCGACTTGGTCAAAAAGTATTTCTCCTTCATGAGACTGGAATTCAACTACAGAATTCTGGAACAACCCTTGAAAGCCAGTGCTGGAGCATTTGCATTTAAAAGAAGGTCTCCGTTCCTGAAAAAAATAAATATGTTAGGGCTAAGGGTCAAGCAAATGGGAATAAGTAGTATAACAATGCCGAGAAATAAGATTATTGATGTGAAGCATGCGATGCTGGGGTTTCACAAACTGGGTTCTTTTTTGATATGTCACTCGATTGGCTGTGTCCTAAGCATTGTCGTTTTTATGCTGGAATGCTTGTACTGGAGATTGGAATTGTGTATTCAAAAAAAGAAGAAAAAATAGTATGAAATATGTCGAAGAAAAGTTAAATTAATAATTATAAAATGTTCGAGCTAAGAGAAATACAAAATTAGGATATTGTTTTATTATTTCTGAAAGGTAAAAAATATATCAATATTATAAAATATAGAAAAATATAAAGAAATAAAATTAAAATAGAAAAACGAAATTTATTGACAATATGGTGAAGGAAATTAAATTAAATTTTTGAAAATTTTAAAATATTAAAAGATTTATTTTTCTGTTCAACAAATTTGTTGATATTTTTATGTCAAGACCATATTATATAATATAATTTAAGATTAAACTGAACATATAAAATTGTGTCTCTCTATACAATATGATCGAAAAAAAATCGGCGTCAGCGATGGCTATGAAATGAAGATTGCTGTCATATGGTATGTAAAAGTATATGGGAAGTTCGTTTACATTAAAATGGAGGAAATATTAAAAAAAACTGAAGAAGCACAAGCGTTACTTTCGTGAATCCATTTAACAAAAGGAATATAAATAATAACTTCAAATATATGTCACTCGATTGGTTGTGTCCTAAGCATTTTTTTGTGCTGGAATGCTTATATTGGAAATTGAAATTATATATTAAGAAAATGAAAACGAAAATTGAAGAAGAAATTAGGATTTTAAGAGGAAAATAAGAAAAAATGAAATTAATAATTATAAAATAATGTTAGAACTAAGAGAAATACAAAATTAAAATCATTTATTAGTATTTTTTATGTTAAGAAATATATCAATATTATAAATTATAACGAGATATAAAATAATAAAATTAGAGTATCTCATAGACTTAGTATTTTATTCTATATAAGGAGTATCTCAAAAAGAAAATTTCTGGACAATATGGTGAAGGAAATTTTATTAAAAATTTGAAAATTTTAAAACAAAAAAAATTATTAATTATCCTTTTATTATATAAATGATACCAATCTTCATTTTATAGCCATCGCAGACGCCGGTTTTTTTCGATCATATTGTATAAAGAAATACAATTTTTGTTACATTTTAATTTAATTTATAATTATATAGTATGGTATTGTCGTAGGAATATCAAGAAATTTGTCAACGAGACAAATAAATCTTTTTATTTTAAAATTTTCAAAAATTTAATAAAATTTCCTTCACCATATTGTCAAGAATTTTTTTTATCTGCTCCAATTTGATTATTTTATATTTTATTATAATTTATAATATATTGATATACGATCGGGAATTATAGCATCTTAATTCCCGTTAATAATATCCCAAGAGAGTTATAACTACCTACACGATATAAAGGTATTTTTAGAGTATTTAATTCAAGCGCTTCATATAAGTGGATAAAACTCAACAAAAAATATATTTCTGTTCAAAATCGATGTTCAACAAAAAAAAGTACAGCTAGTTTAATTAAAAAAAATCAATATTCAAGTCGTACACCATAGGGGTACTGTTTTTCTCAAAAAATAAACGAATCATCGACCCTTTAAACTACTTTTTCAAACTACCAGCAAGTACCAATCCTGCATACCAAGTACCACCTACATAAAAAAAAATATATAAGGCATTTTTTTCCCCGACAAATACACATTCATTAAACAGTTTCAAGCAGTACCAAATACTATCACGTTTAAAACACAATGAGAAAAAAGATATTTCTGCTGGCTGTCAGTGTGTTTATTCACGTTTTTTGTGAAGACCCAGGGCAGTTCTTTTTGACAGCTGCCAAAAGCGTACCCAGAATAGGGCGAAGTCCTAACAGGAACCCCAATTTGGATTTCGAAAAGTTCTTTTTGAAGGCCTCCAAGTCGGTGCCTAGAATAGGAAGGGGCAACGACGTGAGTATACAGTGCAGGCAGAAATGGTTGAAACTTCTAGTGAACATAAATAGTTTTTTGATATATCATAAATATATAGTATATAACTATTTTATTTATAATTTTTTCAATCTTTTTTTAACAAAATAAAATAGATTAATCATTCTTCTTGAGAATAACTAAAAATTAATTTAAAAAATATTATTTTTTTTTCAGAACCCGTTTAATATGAATCAGAATTCTTGGGAAGGTCCTATTAGATGTAAGTACTATACTGTACAGGGTGAAAATTATTAAGTGTCAAAAATACTCTTTGAGAGTTGATTGCTTGTTAAAAAGTTTGTTTTTATACAGGGCGGGTCTTAAATAAGTGTTAATATTTTCAGGGCTGGTAGATCTCGTTAAAAGAAACATATTTTTTATTTACCGTTTTTCAAATAAGTCCAAAATAACCGAATTATTTTAATTTAAAAATTAAAAAAAATATATTTTTTTAATTTTACTTTTTTTATTTAAACTTTACTGGGTTTTCTTTCATATTATGTTGCCATATTATCAAGAAATTATGTTTTTTAACTAAAAACTCAACAACAAGATTTTTTCAAAAAATTCCAAATCTTCAAATTAAGAAAAAAACCTTATATACCTACGTGTTTGGTATCGAAATATACTTCCCCTAAAATTATTTGCACTTATTTAAGACACACCCTGTATATCACTAATCAAATCGAGTTTTTAGGTGAAATTCATATTTGACTTTGTTATATACAGGGTTTTCAAATAGCTACTCCACTAGCAATATTTTAGATACTATAATTTTTTAAACAAGCAGTTACTTCCTCATTTTTTTGCACTAATTTTCTAACTCTCTATGGGATTGATGCACCTAATTTTTTATTTAAGTAATGAAAATATTGAATTAAAATAAAATTTTCTCCCTTTTTTGTTAGATTTAACATGGAAAGATCTGGATAGTTTTTTCGAGTATCATCCTGATTTGCTTGCGACAGCAGATTCAAATTATTTGCGCTTGTTTGACGAGGATTCATCTGATCCCTCAGAAGTACGTGTTAAAAGATCACCATTTATTTACGCTAAGCCACAGAAAAAAAATTAATAGCTTATTTACAAAATTTATGTTTAATAATTATTCTTACTACCTATATTATATATTATTATGTCGAATTGTGAAATAATAAAATAAATAAGTATATACATATCTAATAAATTAGTTTTATTTTGTGTAATAAATTGTGTCAATGATAATTTTATACCATACTTATGGACATTTATAAAAGATGGATCTACTAAATTAGTGTCCCGTCATATACTGTGTGATGCATCAGAATACGACACATTTTGGCTTAAAATCATCTGGGGAGATAATATTTGATCTTTTCAAAATTTACATTTTTTTATTTCTTATTTTTTTTTTATTTCCCGTGTTCCGATATACAGGGTGGTCCGAACTGTATTCCGGAAACTTTGGCAGCATATTCTGCAAATAAAAATAAGTAAAAAACTTCGTATAAATATGTCATAAAATGATTAGTTTCGGAGATACAGAGTGTAGAAGATCTGATGGAGCTGATTTTTGAATTTTTTAATCTACAGGGTGGTCCAAACTGCGTATTCGGGAAACTTTGGCAGCATATTCTGCAGATAAAAATAAGTAAAAAATTCGTATAAATGTATGTCCTAAAATGCTTGGTTTCGTAGATACAGGATGTAGAAGTTTCATTTTGATTTCGATATTTTCCAAATAATTTCCGAAATAACGTCAACATTTGGATGAAAATTGGTGGCTGGGAGTTTTTTGACATGAGAAATTTGATTTTGATGTCAATATGATTCTGATTTGTAGGGAGCGCCATCTACATGTATTTTAACTATTTTGAAAAGTAATAACTTTTCGTCCGTACCTGTATAAAACTCAGCGGCGTGCGGTCCATGGAAGCGGGGGAAGCACCCGCCAGGTGTGTCTCACTCGGGTAAAAAATGTACACGTACTGCCAAAATATCCTTCCACTTCTATATAAGCGACTGCCAATGACTATGAAGAAGACTGCCTATGACTGCCATGTAATTATTATAGGCGACTGCCATAAGACTGCCAATAACTGCCAGCGACTGCCAAGAAAATGTACATGTAATTCCAATAGTGAGACACCCCTCGCCGCTTCACTAAACTTTTTAAAGATAAAAAAGATAAATAGTTACACGTTAATAATACTATTATTTTATAACAAAAGATATTTTAATTTGTTAAAATTATTTATTTGAAACCTTACATAAACGTAGTAAATTTCATTAGCCTTTTACTGCATGGATGCGCGGCTGGAAATCGCCGCCGGTCGCCTATCCCTCCTTTAAGTAGGTGTTATTGACCTCGAACGCAAACGACAAATGTAAGCCGGAAAATCGCGCACAGTTGCCAGCCACGGCAGCGATCATTCGGCCGCCTTCCGCCGCTTTTAATTTATCGGGACGGGTTCGCTTGCGATTTTATAGGTAATATTGTATTTTTTTTCGGATTTTACTTAGTGTTTACTGTTTCGTTTGTATTGTGATTAAGAAAATGTAAAAGTAATGTCTCGAAATAGGTTTTTTTTTACCGATTCGCTTCCCCGCACGCCGCTGATAAAAACTACTGAGTAAAAAATATACATTTCCGTGATTTTTTACGTAAAAAATATCTCTTGGTAAAAATCGCTACGAGCAACCGTTCTCGGGATATTTAGTCTGGAAATAGTCAATATATGTCGTTATTATTGGTAAAAAATAAACACGTTGAGTTGATGACAGGTATTGCTAATTTCGATTCCAAATATCTCGAGAACCGTTACTCGTAGCGATTTTTACCAAGAGATCTTTTTTACGTAAAAAACGTCGTAAATATATATTTTTTTACTCACCAGTTTTATACAGGTACGGACGAAAAATTATGTAGGTGGCGCCCTCTACAAGTAGGAGTCAAATTGACACCAAATCCAAATTTCTCATGTCAAAAAACTCCCAGACATCAATTTTTATCCAAATATTGACGTTACTTCATAAATTATTTGGAAAAGATCGAAATAAAAATGAAATTTCTACACCCTGTATCTCCGAAACTGAGCATTTTAGGATACACATTTATACGAACTTTTTTACATATTTTTATCTGCAGAATATGCTTCCAAAGTTTCCAGAATACAGTCCTGACCACCCTGTAGATTAAGAAATTCTACATTATAGGTGCAAAAGAACACAATTTAAACTTGAAAAAAAGATAAAAAAAACAAGACTAAACGAAACCAAGTTCTACAAGTACGTAAAAAAACACGACAGACAGTATACAATACCCAGAGATAGAGGGGAGACTCAATATTCCAGAAAAAATGCCCACCCAAACGTTAAGCACGCCGTGTCTATCCCGGTACCCCTCTCATCCCCACCAACGCAAAGGTCTGCGCTGCCATATTAAAACAGGCGTCGTGTAGGCCAATAGGAAGGCGGTAATTACGCGCGCTGAGCAATGGCGCGCTGCGATAGGTGGGAGTGGAATAAGCCGGAGGGAGGGGCTAAAATAACGATCGATAGAAATAGGGGGTAGGGTTTAGTTCGGCTACCGGAGTGTAGATGGCGCTATGATTCCACGGTTCTGTCTTCTGGTTATGTTGGGGTTGGTTTGTTTAATATCAATACGGATATAGATATTTAGTATAATCCTTTATCTTTAATTTCCTTCTTCATTTGTGTAAAAATACCTAGCCAGATTTACATAAAACGTTAAATGCCGAACGCTTATTTTGCATAATATCACACGGACACTTCTTGAAGAACTTTCAATAGATAAAAATTAAAAAAAAAGAATTCAAAAGAGCTGGTGAGAACAAATGACAGCCTCATTCAAAGATAAAGAGTCGTTATAGTCTTGGTTAGTAAAAAACTATACCTATATATACCTACTAATTGACAATAGATCCGAAATTAAGTTATTAAGGCAATAATTGGAAAATTATTATTACTTATAGTCTGGGCAAACTCACCTTGCGGTTCTGATGGCAATTGCCGTATCGTTAATGGATAGTTTGGTAACAATTTGACGCGACCGTTGTCGTCTAATTCGTCCTAATTCGTTTTCGTCGTTTATCATTGTTTATACTAATTTATTTAAATTGACGCGATTTTGAACGTAGCTTGGACGAAACGGTGTTGACAAAATATGAGGTTATAAGCGATGGAATCATGTCTTCAAGTTGAATATACCGTTTTAATTGTACCAAAATAATGATGGATTTATTCTATTTGCGTGATCAACAAAAAAATATTATTTGGATAATGACAAATTTTGACGGTTTTACTACATTTTTCCATTTTCAAAATAAACTATTATAGATACTGTGAAATTCTTAGGACTTGTAGAAATGAGACTTGCACATCGAAGCTTTATCAAAGAAACTAAGCAATCAGTTTCTGAGGAACTTAACTTATCAACCTCTAGAATAGTCTATTATGCCCTTTTTGAGTCGCATCTTTGTTATGCCCTTCCATACTGAAGTAGGTACTTGCTGCGCGACAAAATTTGATCGTATTTTCAAACTTCAAAACAGAGCAGTTCGATATTTATTGGGACTGAACAATAGAACTCACTGCCAGAATTTCTTTAAAAATTTCAAAATACTGACTCTTCCTTCTTTATTCATTTTTGAATCCGTTTGCTTAATCCACAAGCACATAAATATCTGCTATTCCCGAAAGGCCAACTCACAACTATCCATTTTGGAATGCGGAGCACGATCTTTATCTACCAATCCCGAGCTCAGAACTAGTTCTGAATACCGTACAATGCCAAAAAATGTACAATCATCTGCCTTTGAATATCAAGTCGCTTTCATTCTTTCCCGCATTTCGCAAAGCTCTGAAATCATACTTACTGGAGAGAGCCCTATATGCGGTAAACGACATTTTTGTTGATGTTTAATCATGAACAATTTTGAATTTTAAAATTTTGATCATCTCACACTCTGGTTAATGGTCTAGTATTTAATGTTTAATATTTTGTAACTCTTACATGATTATATCTATTGTAAATTTTTTTTTGACACGCCTTTTTTGTGTTCTGCAACGTCCAATGTAGTCATTTTAATGACATACATTTTTTTGAATTGTATGATTTGTATATTTTTTGTGCTTTTATTTGTTTTGTAAATGCTTTTTCGATAAAGCTTTATTTTGGTTTTTTAAGTATGTATTCGTTCATATATTCTTTCTTTTAAATCTTCTGATTGCCTTTAATATTCAGAAATATTCCGTTATTTAAATACCAAAAACAGGTACTAACACTAATCCGAAATAAAATACATTCCGAACAAAACAAACATTCACTAAAGCTTCCCGAAATAAATAAAATAAAAACACCATAATAATATAGCAGTACCACCGTCAATTTTACTCTTTATTTTTTACCATTTCTATTGAATGGAACCAAACTCAACCGCCCAGAACCACTCTTCCCATCCAATCCACGTCGCTAGGAACCTCCCGTTCCATTCTCGAGGTACTATCTCGGTCCTATGGCGTCAAGTCAATTAAAATCGACTGGTGGTACCGATAAGGAAGACGCGATAAAAAACGCCGAACTGTGGCTACCGGTCTTTAAGGTACTGCCTCGTCACTTCTAACGTTTCGAGATTCATTAAAGCGGGTGACTGTGCGGTTCTGGGACCGGGTACCGCCGCCGCCGCCACGGGGGGCACGGTGGTACCTGATGGGCTCCCGTCGACACCTCGCACAAGGCGCCTCGATGATCTTCTTGAATGTTTGAGAGATTTTATGGCGCTAGAATATTGTTAACTTTCGTACTACCGTATAATAAAAAAAATTGGTCGTGTTTTTCCGATTTAGCTGAAAATTTGAATGCGCGTATAAGTAAATGAAAAAAAAATGAAGAAACACATTACTAAAAAATGTATTAATCAATAATAAACATGTAAAAAGTAGAAATAAATATGTAAAAATAGATTAATTTTTTTATTGCTATATGGATTATTTTTCATTAAAAGTCATTGGTAGGACTGAGAAAAAACACAAAATTTTCATGCATTTCAAAAATTATGAAAAATAATAGATGATTCCATATAAGTTTGGTTGTGTG